GACGGCCTGCCTGCCTGCCTGCATGCCCCTGCCCAACCACCTACCTACCTACACGTACCCACCCAACCAAATGCCTACCTGACTGCCAGCCTGCCTGACTGCCTGCCTGCCTGCCTGCATGCCCCTGCCCAACCACCTACCTACCTACACGTACCCACCCAACCAAATGCCTACCTGACTGCCTGACTGCCTGACTGCCTGCCTGCCTGCCTGCCTGCCTGCCTGCCTGCCTGCCTGCCTGCCTGATTGCCTGACTGCCTGCCTGCCTGCCTACATACGTACCTAACCCTAACAATAACTCTAAACATTGGCATCTTACACTAAAGCGAATTTTTCTCTAGATCATCTGATTTCATGAATGCCTGTCGCCCAGACAAACTCATCGGCTAACAAAACATAATTGTGTCGGCAGGCAATTAAGCAGTCTGACAACAGTACAGCAGCAGCGACGCCGATGCTGCGGTAACCATGGTGACGGTGGCGTCTGCCTGCACTCACCGTACATCTGGAATCCCCACATGGCTTCACCGACGCGTCCACATCCCACCTGCACCTCGTCTGCAATGCAGACTCCGCCCGCATCGTGTACGTACCTGCACACCCAGCAGAGGGCACTACATTAGCTCTCGATGCACACGCAGCAGACGTTCACAATAGCGACAGTTAAATGAAGACAGACATGATTTACAGACTATAACAGCACAGAAACCCAATCATGAATTCCTAAAGAGCAATTAGGTAAATTACTAGAGAGTATAACTTCAACCTGAAAGCGAATAACCTACAAACAATATGGTTTCACCCTAAATATGCGATCGTATTTTTTAAAGGCCCCACAAGTTTTTCAGCCAGCCCTGATCGCCAAACAGCTTTTGTTGCTCTGTAACCTTTGCTATGGCCACCAGGGGCCATGGCAAACAGCAGCAGCAGTAGCAGCAGCAGTAGCATTAGCAGCAGCAGCAGCAGCAGCAGCCGTAGCAGCAGCAGCATCAGCAGTAGCAGCAGCTGCAGCAGCATGCAGTAGCAGCAGCTGCAGCAGCAGTAGCAGCAGTAGCAGCAGCAGTAGTAGCAGCAGTAGTAGCAGTGTCAGCAGTAGTAGTAGTAGCAGCATTAGCAGCAGCAGTAGCAGCAGCAGCAGCAGTAGTAGCAGCAGTAGTAGCAGTGTCAGCAGTAGCAGTAGCAGCAGCAGCAGCAGCAGCAGTAGTAGCAGCAGTAGTAGCAGTGTCAGCAGTAGCAGTAGCAGCAGTAGTAGCAGCAGCAGTAGTAGCAGCAGTAGTAGCAGTGTCAGCAGTAGCAGTAGCAGCAGCAGACTCACTTGAAGACTTTCTCCATGTAGCCCGGCGGCATGACGATCTGACCGCCGCAGCTCTGCATCGACTCTGCGATGTACGCGCAGACGCCCTGACCTTTCTCGGCCAGCCGCTCAATGATGACCTTGACCTCATCCGCGTAGAGGTCAGCCAGCTCCTCCTCGGTGTGCACGTCGTTGCGGTAACGACCGCGATAGTTGTCAGGGACGTCGGCCTGCAGAGAGTAAACTCACGCATTGTCATCGTCATCTATGCCATCTGCGTTGAAACACCTAGTGAATTCCTCTCAAGACATTCATAAAGAATCTAGTAAATTCCTCTCAAAAATTCCTCTTAAGACGTTTGTGAATAACCTAGTAAATCGATATCCCTCTTAAAGCAAGGATTTCATAAATAATTTTTAACAGGTCTCGTGTTTTTCCCACTTTTACGATACTTACGATTATTGCTCGTAACAGCAACTGTCTAGAGTAATGCTAACATGATTTAGAACCTTTGCATTTAGATTCTAATTTTGATTACTCATATTCATGTCTGCCGCCATTTCTCGGACTTTCTCTTGATAGCGCGAGACATCGGCCAGGGATGAGTAATGTGAAAATCGCACCACGTTCATTAGACAGAATCAGATGACCTTTTCTTTTAATTAAGTGCACTTGTTTTGAAGGCGCCATTTGCAAACAATTTGTCGCTATAATCAAATATGCCATGGTGTTACGACATGTTCAATTCCATTTTTCTATGTTATATAGCAGCATGAATTCTTAGTGTTTTTAAAGTTGGTGCAATAAGTAACATATCCGATATTAGATGAGACTATATTTCGCTATATTTTTTTCCAGATTGTGCGTTCATAAATAATAATTTTGAAATAATTACTTTGGTTTGTCAAGACGCCATTTTGGGGAACCTACAGCGATCGGCAATCTAATTGATGACCCCGATTTAAGACACTGTGACGCTGAGCTCCGAGCAATTAAACAGTGAGAAAACATTAATTTTATAATTTTATTTATTATTTATTGATTAACATTAATCGAACATTAAACGTTGACTAATGCTAATTACCTATGAGTATGAGAGCATTTACGTTAGCACTACGGAATTAACAGGACTACTTCGGTAACAGAATGTCATTAACATATTTCTGCCACAAATCACTTACGATGTGCACGTAGTCTGGTTGCGTGACCTTCGAGCCTGGAGCCTTGAATTTGTAGGGACTGATCTCGATCAGCGTTGAGATATGACCGTGGTAGGCACTACAGAGACACAGAAGCAGAATGGCACATTAAAAGCATTTGACATAACGCTTCAGTTCGCATTATCATTAACATAGTACATGCTTAGGTTGGACTGACGGAACGATCCATTCAACGATAATATCAATAATGACTAGGGCCTATTTATTTAGATTATTAATTATTATTATCATCATCATTATTATTATTAATGATAACAGAATTCCTAAAACTAATCTAACAAAGTGAAGTGATATTGTCAATATTTACATAAACACTAGAAGACGGATTGACGCGGATAGAGGTGATTTTAATCAAAGCAACAGATTGTGACTGCTAAGCCAACCCAAACTGCATGCAGTGCCCCTTCCCACACTCAGGATAATACCACTGCCACAATGCTAGCACTATTTTTAAAGTGGGCGGAGCTCTGGGGAAATCCAGCGAATGGCAATCCAACGGCGGCGAAGTCGCCGTCTAACAACACATTAGAAATTTCTAGGATTTGCATGTTTGTTGGTGGACAAATTTAGATGTTTTAAGCTGAATACGCCAACAAATTGCGTATCAAAGACAATGCTTCGAGAATTAGTTATACTGACAATCATCCAAAAAATTCATGATAAATACGTGAACTTAAGTTTATAAACAACAACTCCCCGCGTAATGATCCTTGACAGTAGTAAATGGGCGCACTAATTTTCGTATCACCTATTTTGAGTCGAGAGAGTGTGCGTCGAGTGAGAGAAGGTGAAGATGGTTGATTTTCAATATCTTTGCAAAGCTTTTTATACATTCACCGTATGTACATAGGACAGGAGTAACGGGAGTCGCTGGTATAACTTATAGTAAAAAAGCGTAAAAATCTTACGGAAATCAGCTTGTGGCAGTGGTAGAATTGAGCCAGAGCGACGAGCGCTCATCTAGTCGTGGAGTTTGAAGCCCAACCTAGCATACTGAGACGATAACAGATAGATCTCTTAACCAGTAAAACTTTAGGTAGGCTTGTTTTGGCACTAACGGTGGCGAATTAGCTTACAGTAGAATATCACTAACACAAAGAACTCCCTTTTCCCACAAATCCGCTCATCTATATCCTAGTAAGTAGTACTAGCTCTTCAACAATTTAGATATAAAAAGTTTTATTTGAATACTCCACACTAAAAGAAGAAATGGTTGCTTTACAACCAGGAGTAGTTTAGCGCGTGTGAGGGGAAGTGAAGCACGGTACGGCAGTGCGAGTTAGCTCTAAAACTAGTTCCTTTGCTCTGCAACAGGCCTGTGGCAGAGAGAAGGACTATATATAGGTTCCTAGAGCTAAGCGTGTGTGTACTGAGGAGTGAATACCATGCATGTTCTAGTGACTATGACTCACTGCATCTAGAAGCTAATAGACGTCAGTGTTTCCTGTGTGGGCTTTCGCCCAACCCTCAACGCCATAATCATTGGCTTCAATCTGCAATGACCAAATACATCAATAATCGCTGCAGTTATAATTGTTGTTGGCGCGCAGGCAAACAACTTACTCTGAAGGTATTATGCTCGATCGTCCAGCGTTAGTAAACGATGGCTTTGGCCATAGATTTTTATTACACATTCCTCCAAGGTGGATGATAGAAACTATAGGTTAATCGAAAGTCCAAGTATCACGAGTAGCACGGCTTGCCTGGACTAACATCACATACATAACCTCATAAAACATTACCATACAAATTAACATCGAAATGGTTGCAAAGCGCGAGGTTGCCTTGCGCGATGTTCTCGTAATTTTCCTCTCCTCTCTCTCGTTCACGCCCATCAACTCTTAACTCCTCTCTCTCTCTCTCTCTGCGCATCTCATCATCTTCTCCTCTCTCTCTCATCTCTCCATCTCATCTCGTTCTCTCTCTTCTCTCCATCTCTCCTCTATCTCTCTCTCTTCACTCTCTCTTCTCTCCGTCGATCTCTCTTTCTCTCTCTCTGCCTCTCCTCTCTCTTCTCTTCCGTCTGGCTACATGCCAAACCTGGCCACTCCAAAGCTGTCGCACTTCAACCAATCCCCCCAAAAACACACAGCAAGAAACTGTATGTGGGTACTTAGCGCCAAGACTCAGCTCACGATAACAAGGCCAGTAGGGAAAAATCCTTGTCCGGAAACCCGGACCTCAAACAATTCGCGTAGAGAGCGTCTCACAATCACAGGTCGGCACGGGTGCACAAAACACGAAACAAGGAATCGGTGGGCCGCCTAAAAGAAAGATGGAGGTGCGATATCTTTCATCCGCTCCTCCGTGCCCGGCCGGATACTGGCAGCGATGGCGGTCGTCGTCCTTCAGCCCAGGCAGTTGACTGGCCTGTAAGCCAGACGGAGAGGTTGGGCGGCATTGTCTCGTTGATCGTGTGAGCGAACGACAGGATGTTGTCGTGCAGAAAGCGGCTGTTCGTGCTCAGTGTCGCCATCTGTGCGGCGCCGGCGCGCACGACTGCCGGGTGACAGTGCCCCACTGCAACGCCAACACTCGTCAGTAACCCTACCCCTTTACCTCTACAGGTACCCTAAGCTAACGTTTTCGGATGTTTACCGGGACCGAAGTAGCCCCTAACCGATGCCGCCACTACGGTAAACGCTTAAGCCGTGTTGTACTCCCTGCAGTTACCCTAACCTCAACCCTCTACAGTAACCATAACCTCAACTCATAATAGTAAACCTACCCACAGCGCACTACAGAAACCTTGTAACCCTAACCATTTACCCCCTACAGTTACACTAACCTCAACACTCTACAACCCTACGGCGATGGTGGCCATCCCTAAATGTAACTCCACCTGGCATAACCCTGCATGGATAACATAACCTAGGCAATGGAGTTTGGTGGCATAGATACCTCAATTGCAATTATTCATCTCACAATACAATGTGCCAGCCATAGGTCTCGATAGTTTACAAAGACAAGGGCTATAATATGCACAGGCGGGGCATAACTCACTATGAGTGGTTCTCTTCCAGGGCATTTCAGTCATCAGAAATATGGGGGGACACCCCCAACTCCGTTGGAATTGCATCTGGTGGCGGGAGAGTGGATTAAAAAAAAAAATAAACAAACAGAAAAAAGTAAGAAAAAAAGAGAAAAACGGATGCCAAATTGGATTAGTTTTGCCCACGAATCATCGATGATGAAATTTAGTGTTTTTTTTTAATCACGTGACATGCATTGTATTGTATGTACCACAAGCCGGGCCAACCCACACCTGGAGTAAGCACAAAATCCGGTATGCGGCCAGAAGCGCATTTACCCCAGCCCCGCGAACCCGCCCCCCTACCTCCACGACCCACCCCCGGTTAAAACCTATTTTAATCGCGCATGTATCGACAGATATCGGACCACACGCCAACAACCTGAGGATTGGTTGAAATTTTTATTTTAGGGCGATTGAATTCCAGCCAAAGTCAGAACAGTGTTTTTTAATCGCGATTAAAATAGATTTTAAAGCGTGATCAAAAACCACTGTTTCTGATTGGCTGGAATTCAATCGCGCTTAAAATATGATTTGAAGCGGCGATTAAAAATAGGTAGGTTTTTGTGCGTGCGTGTGTGTGTGTGCATGTTTGTGTGTTGTGTATGTGTGTGTGTGGGGGGGGGGGGGAAGGGTGTGGGTGTTGGTCGTGTGTGCCGTGCATGCTGTGTCTCTGTGCGTGTGTATGTGTGTGTGTGTGTGTGTGTGTGTATGTGTGGTGTGTGTGTGTGTGTGTTGTGTGTGTGTGTGTGTGTGTGTGTGTGTGGTGTGTGTGTGATGTGTGTGGGTGTGGGGTGTGTGTGTGATGTATGTGAGTCGTGGGAAGGAGAGGGTTTGGGTAAATTAATGTTTATTAATTTTACAATAAACAGATTAGCCATATAATCGTCTATATAACGAACTGACACACGCCCACGGCATAATAATAATTATCAATAATAATATTGATTATACCTGTGCACATCATGCCTACATACAAAATAATGTTTACATAGCACACACGCATGGTTTAGTTGTTGGAATTCGATTGCATTGCTCTTGATTTGAATATTGATAAGGTTACTTCCATGAATTAATAACGCTTGACGTTGCAAACGAATCTATGTACATTGAATAGAATACGCGCCTATAGATAAGAACGCAAATAACCACACACGCACACGCACGACGCACACGCACACCACTACGCACACGCACACGCACACGCACACACACACACACACACACAAAAAAACCCTACCTAATTATATGCGCGCTTAAAATCTATTTTTAAGCGCGATTGAATTCAAGCCAATCAGAACAGTGGTTTGGTGGGAGAGGGTGCGCAATTAAAATTAGATTTGTAAGGCGCGATTAAAAAGCACACTGTTCTGATTGGCTGGAATTCAATGCGTTTAAAATCCTTTAAGCGACGATTAAAAATAGGTAGGTTTTGGCGGTAATGGCCTTCATAAAACCGGTGCATAGGCAACACTACGTGAGCGCCCACCATGACGACGTAAGGACATCCCTGATAGGTGTAATGCTAATCCCCCCGGCGCGTGGAGGGAGATGACCGCAAACGTGGCAGCACTGAGTGTTATGGATAGTTTAGGATTAGGGTAGGGTCAGGGTTTAGGTTAGGGTTAGGTTAGGGTTAATTTTTAATTATTTTAATATTTTACTTTTTATATTTTTAATTTTAAGGGTAGTGAATAGTGTAGGCGTTAGTTAGGAAGTTAGGTTAGGGTTTTTGCATCATGATATCTTGTCCCGCACTCACATAGATTTAATTTTTGTGATAATCACTGCTAAAATAAATAGGCGCGGGGACACATATATATTTAGTGTGAGGTGTGTGTTTGGCGGTGTTGGAGGTGAGTCGTTAACCGTTTAGCGGTTAACGTTTTGAACGTCCATCGTCACTTATCACGTGACCTCCCCACGCCCGGGGGATAGCAACCACCGCTACATGATACATCATGAAACAAGTGGGCAGGAAACCAGTCTAGGTACAATCGCACTACAGTCAAGTACGCAAGGAGACACTCGTAACATTTTATTGTCGATCCAAATTTACGATTACAACGCAATGGATTGCTACTAAAGGGTGTAAACGATTGCACCGCACAAGCTGTCTTGCAGCATACATACATCTGCTCCCAGCTTTAACTCTATATACCCTCCATTTCTCAGCATTACAATGCAGGACAAAGGGGGGTGGGGTCTGGTGCACATGCTACTCTGCTGGCCATCTGAGCTACAGATCCTACACCCACATGCAGGCCTGTCGGAAGGAATTTTAAAGTGGTACGGTTTCAGTGGCGGTCTGGGGGTGAAACCTTCAGCGGGGTTCGAAGGGGGCAGACAGGGTGACCAGATTTTAGAAATTTGATTACGGGACAGGAAACGATGCGAGGGAGCGGAGCGATCGAGCGGGGGAGGGTGTGGGAGGGGGTATGCCCCTCCCTCGGTAAGAACTTTTTTTGAATTGGGGGTGCAAATCATGCAATTTAGCACACATTTAGCACACAAAATTTTTTTTTATCCTTTCATTGTACTGCAGAAAAGGACAAATTACTCTTCATTAAATAGAAATTGAGGTCAAGCTGCTAACTCTAACCTATAAATAGGAGGTTTCACGGTCAGGTGGCGAGCTTAATTTATCACTTTCTTGAGGATATTATTTTTAAGATTTGCGATTGGATAAAAAAGTTTTGTGGCATATATGCTGTTCTTCGGTTTATGTGATAATGCTTTTCATAATAATGGAAAAAAGACAAAGTCACTTCGATGTTCGTGTTCTTCCCTGTATTGGGTGGTAGGCTGGTGATAAGCCTACGATCAGCCTATGATCATGACATTTATCACCCTCCCACCTTCTCTCTTCTTTTCTCTTCTCTTTCCTTCTCCCTCTCTCTCTCTCTCCTTTTCTTTTCTCTTTTCTTCTCCCTCTCCATCTTTCTTTTTTTATTTTCCTTTTTTCTTCTTTTTTTAGGCTGAAAAGTGGTACGGTCAATCCCGTACCAACCGTAGCGGCTCCGACGGGCCTGCCCACATGCACGTTAGCAAGGATGCTGGCGAGAACACTGCCTGTTCTATGCTTACTCTAGATGACAGACTATATTGATCACAGTGTGAATCCAGCTGCACTAACATCCACCAGAAAGGAACAAAGAGCAGGCAATGACCGCGCTCGTGAACATGCCTGATGGATGCATGGCAGCAGGGTTGATGGCCACCACAACAACACGCAGCCATGTCCAAGGCCGTAGGCTGAAAAAATTCCTAGTGGGGGGGCAAAATTTTATGACTCAACTGTGTAATGATGAGCGACGGGCGCAGCTCTTGATCGACGTCCATAATAGTGTGGTAGGGGTGGCTCTGAGACAAGGCTTTCACGGATACGTGACCAAAAAATCACGTTAGGGTTATTTACCAATATTAGCTAAGCTTATTTTTTAATTTTTTCCCAAAATCTAGGGAGGGCAGCTGCCCCCTTGCCCCCCCCCCCACAGGCTATAGCCCTGGTGTCTATACTGCATGCATGAAGCCATATTCACAAAGCCTCATAGCAGCACCGTCACCTATAGCCATGCAATCACCGCTACGCATTAGACAAACAAGTGCCGCAGAGCGACAGCGCTCATCTAACGTCTACTGCGGTGACTCTGTGGTGGAGTGGTGAGATTCTAGTAAAACCCTGTTAGCTCCCAAACTGTGTTCACATACACGCCGAAACAGTGGAATGCACAGGGATGGTATCAGACCTTCTCAAAAAGAATGTTCGTTGGGATCGTTATGAAAAGTTGCCAGCGATGATGAGCGCGTACGTTAAAGTGTCTTCAGATTAACAGATGGAAGCTGCCCCATCAATACGTAGTAGCAACAACTATCTGCAAGACAGAATAGGTAAAGCACTCATCGCATTTACCTACGCAAGCGTACAGGCTGCGCAATAGAGAGCTGCCACCTGTAACCAATTAAGGCAAAAACTCCACAGTACGCACCAACACATGCACTGGCAGTAGGCCACTGGCAGTGGCATACGTTTACATGTAAGCATACTGACAGTACAGAATGCCATATAAATTATAGCGATTTAAGGAGCATAAACCTTCTTTAACCAAATTTAGCTTTGAAATTCACTGTGACATTGTAGCCTCCATACATCAGGCATGTATAGATTCTACTAGCAAAAACCCGCAGCAAATTCTTTCTAACAGACAGTCCAACAATCCATGTTTAACCCTCCTCTTGAGGGTCAAAAGGTTATCTGACACTTACTCTTCGCGGCATGTCAGCAGAAATAGATTTCATGTCCTTTCAATAATGCCAATAAAAATGCTAGTCACCGCTGAAACAAAAAAGTTTTCAATGCGCTCCGTCAGACATGTCCTCAGAAATGTCTAAAATCCGCCCTGTGTCCCATTGACGCTTTGACGCTGTGACCTCGCAATTCGCAGCAAGTGAATCTTTCC